TTTTTTCAAATTAAAAAGTAGAGAAATTAATTTCTCTAATAATCATAAGTTTATAAGATGAGAAGTAACCACTGAGGCAAGAGTCATTAACCACTTCTGCCGAGTACGAGTATTGACTAGCTGATCAGTCACTCGTGGGGATTGGCTGCTTGGTATGGATACGTTATTCCCTTGTTATGTAAATTAAGGAACATGTCGGGATAGTTAAGGAAATTGATCCCTATATTTCTCTCCAACAATACCAAATTTACAGAAAGTAGAAGCCACTCCATGCTTCCTCTACCATACTAGTTCTGTACACTGCGCAACAGACATAATCTTCCCTGCATTGTGATTTTGTGACTCCATAAAACCCTGCATGGTCAGTTTTGAGAGGATATCTGAGTGCAATTTCACTTTATCTTATCCTTACAGGTTGTTTATGCCCCACTATTGTAAAGCTAAGAGGCACCTCACTTGATTGTGGACTTCAAAAATGGATTAGGTGGGCGCTGTCCTTGTACTCAAGGCACTTCTGCAACCTTCTTCCCATCTTCATTATGATTTGATTCCTTTGAGAATGGATTAGGCAAGTTTTGAGTTAGTGTCGTCTTCATATCTCCTAAACTATTCACCTGGCCGGAAGTTTTTGTTTCTCAATTCTTTGCCTCCTTGCTATCCTCCATGGTTGCAGTTTGGTATTGATCTGATTTTTGTTTACCAACTTTAACTCCATTGGATGGTTTTGCTTTCATTGTGAAAGAAGGAGCTGAAAGTTTCACTGATGATGATGGAATAGCGGTGCCTGCTATTTCACTTCTCCCAGATGCAGTTAAGTTTTTGCTGGCTGCAACATCAGCCTTATCAGAAAGATTATACTTTGAGGTTGCGAGAGAGGTGTCTAGAGGCTTCTCAGTTTTGTTATGCAGTCGTTCCTGTTTTCCGGTAGAAACAAACAGGTGAAAACACCAAAATAGGAAACAAAATCCGGTTAGCTTCCATGGACAACACATTGGTGGTTTACTTCTACTACACTGTTGAACCTTTCTTCCAAACTTGGAAGCTTCAAAGCTGTAGCAAGTTGGATTGCACCCTTCACTGACTTTTTGACTGATAAAAGCTTCGCTAATTCAGTAGCTCTAACGAGTTTGTCACCTAGAACAACCACCACCAAGCATATATGAGCAATCAGAATACATTTGTGATGTTCATTACACGGCAATTGGAGGTGAGGACTAGTGAAAACTGCTCTGTTTTATGAGTTCAATTATAAATTGTAAAGCCTCACCATTGCAGCAGGATGCAGTCAGCCGGAGGATGCATCCATCTTGTGCAGCTCCTTTATTAGAAGCCTCATCATCAAGTGAAGCAGCATCCAAACCTTTTTCTGGTCATTGCTTCTATTTTTTCCTGGATCTGCAAGTGTATATATCTAATTACTTGAGATGCTGGACAACATTGAACATTCAAAATAACCTAATATTAGGAATCAAAATGATCATCAAGAAACTAAATATAGTCTCTTTTGTACAAGAAATAGCATGGAAATTTCACAATTACAACCGAATGGTTTGACATGCCACAAAAAATGCAGGGGACGACAAACCTGTGAGAGATCCATGTTGTTCAGCATAAGTTTGTTCTCAAGGGCTGCTTCTCCCAGTTCAGGGAATGCAATAGGAAGTGACAGGTCTAGAAGAGTGAGAACTGGTTTAGGGAGCATCTGAATGGTTATGAACGATCACGAGGCTCTTTCAAGAGTGTTTATATATGTTTCCAAAAACACTGTTCTTCAAAATCTTGGGATGACTGCAGCATTCAACTTTTTGAATTTCATGACTTCTTTTTAATTTTCTTGGCAAAGAATTGCACTTCAAGGGACCACAGCTACACTGGTTAAGGTGTACGAAGACCATGATTCGAATAGCAAGAGACACCTGCCCTTTGTATAGGTATCCACCACCCCCAAATTTTCTAGTGTTCAAAACAAAAAAAAAAAAACAAACAAACAGACAGTTCAAGATGGTGCAAAGGTAATCCTGTGCTGTATGCCAGTTAACAAAAGAGAAGACATGTCATATCTTCACCATTAAGAATTACAGTACAGCTTTGGTAAGAAACACCCCCAAAAAAGAGTAAACTGAAGCAAAATAGGGGGAAAAAGGGGTTACAATGGGTTCTTCTTTGGACAAAAATTTCATAACAGAAAGAGATTATGGTTCTTGGTCTAGAGGCTGATTATTGTTAATTGGTGGCTTGTGTTGTGGGCCTTCTGCTCCTTGGTAGTCTTTGTTCATCAACTTCACCACTTCATAAGTAGCTTCCAGAAGCTTCTCTGATTCAAGTTTCTGAAAGGGAACATTGTCAAACTCTTGATGGAGACCTGATTTTTCAGACACTGCTAGACATTCTGACCCGCCGTTGTCTGGATCAGCAGACTTAAAATATGTCGAACAGAGTTGGCTGTTTGTTGGGAGTTCATGATTTACCGTCTGGTTATGGTCATTAAAATTGGGGGAAAAAGTCAAAAAGTATGAACAAAATCATTCAGTTTTTGGTCCAAGGAAAAAGGAGCAAAAGAGACCTGATATTCCGAGTGCTCTACCGAACTCTCTGGCTGCTTGTCAGCATTTCCTGCACCAGAGAACATCAAAATATTCAAATTGAAAGATAAAACCACCAAATTCCTGATATGTTCTCTATATTCTTGGCCACAAGCACAAGGGACAACCAAATTAAATTGACTTTGTTGCAAAATAGAAAATGAAATACTCTTGGACATTGATTTTCTATTTGCAAAAATACAAGTATGATAATAATATATCATGCACCGATGTATTCACTACTACAACCCCTAACAAAATTGTTGAGAGGTCTATCTCTCAAAGGACTAGGGGGGATTTTAATTTGTTCAGTTGTTCTTAGGTGGGTGAGATTTTGGGTCATGATAGTCAGCACTGAAAGCTGTATAACCGTAGCCAGTCATTTTGACCTTCATATGGTGATGAAGGCTCCTTCTGTTTCTAACAGCAGATTCACATCTTGTAACATTGAGATTTCCTTTGTCTCTATTGTTACAGTTTCCAACAGAAAGGGCTGCGCCTGAAATCCTTGCTTCTTTGGCATCCAAATTGCCTGTTTTCACTGACTTTTTCTCCAAATTCGAACTTCTTAACATGATTTTTCTTCCTGCAAACCTCATGTTTCCATCTTCTGCTGTGACAGCAGGAACTCCATGATCATAAGCTTCCTGGTAAAATGTTCCTTAAATTAATTAGGATCCATATTTCCATTTTTCTATGTGAAGAATCAATAATATAAGAGATGATAATTTGTACCTTAGCAATGTCAGCTGAGTTCTTTCCTGCTGCTTTAAGACTGATATTTCCATCCAAATTCTTCAGAACTGAAAGAATTTCAAGAAATTAACATAGATACCTTAGGCTAAAAGAATGCTCATACAAAGCAGAAAGAGGATCACACATATATACCTTGATGGGTAAGTGCAAAGGAATCTGTTACAAGTAGTACCAAAGTAAAGGCAACTGCAAAGCTAGTGAACCTTCCAGAGAGCACCATTTTTGCCTTTCTTCCTTCTTTAGGTTATGAAGTCTGTGTCCAAGATCAAATTAGTGGAATATACCATTCAAAAGACAGGTAAATCAAATTTATAGACTCCAAACACGGGTCAAAGATGGGGTCCCAAACACCCCATTCTCTTTATTTTCTTAACGGAAAGTGCAATACTCAATTAAGTGTGGTTACTTGGGAAACTCAAAAATCACAACAAAGCTAGCGGTGTTCAACGCCTTGTAATGTAAAAGTTGAAATAGTTTTCTGGGTTTGCCAAAGTGTCATGAAAAAGGCGTATAATCGCGTGGAATGGAAGATAGAGGTGTTCCGCACCTGTCTGCAGCCATGCATGCAACAAGGACAAGGAGGGTCACCACGTTTCTCTACACACAAAACACCATGGTTTTGATTTGTTTTTTTTTTTCTCTTGGGAACCTCCAGTTCTAACAGTAAAAATATTTTTAATGAGGGGGTGCAAAATGGAAAGAGAGAGCTCCTTAATTTCATAGTTTTAATTGCTTTGACTGAGATTCAGATAAATTATCTGGGAACAAGTGCTTTTTGCAAGACTAGGCAGGCACAATACATTAGAAAATGCAGAAACCTTACTAGGGATGGCTGCTGGCCATGCTGTTTCACTCTAGCCAAGGAGAACTTGTAATCTGAAGGCCACTTTAACACTGTAAAGGATCCACTTCAGTCTGTCAGAACACGTTATAAGATGTATTCTAAGTGAAAAAAAAAAAAACATGTTAAATTTCTGAAACAACTCTTAACGGTTAATTTATAACCAACTACTCAATAAATTATAGGACTGAGAAGCATGTGAAAGTAACATATCACCTCACTAAATCAGCATTTCAAACCAAGTCGGTATTGGCCTAGAGGCTAGCCAGAGGCAAGAGTCTAGACAACCGACCATCAGATATAAAACATTTTTGCATTTCTACTTTTATTGGAAATTGAATCAGAAAGCGGAATGATCGGCCAAAGGCCACGTGCATCAATCGCCTTTCTCAAATTCCTTAACTATACATTAGTCACATTCTCTCCTCGTAACTATATAAACTTACATTGGAGACAGAGGAGAGAATGAGAACGAGGAAGGAATAGACATACTACTTCAAGTAGGTAACCCCTTTGTTTTTCTTGTTCCCTAATAAATACAAAGGATTTAATGTAGTTTAACCTAAGAATCACGCAACTTGCATGATAACATGCAAGGATATATAGATCATGGATAAAAGGATGGAAGTGCACTTCCTTATAACGGACAAATACAAAGAAAAGAGTGTTCTGGTATTAAAATGCTGTAACTGAAACATATAGAAGGAAGATACCAAAAACCAGTAGGATGTTTGTCAAAGGGCAATGTCCGGAGGGCATGTTTCTTGTTGTTCTTGTTTTGAGAGCAAGTACCCAGCATGTACGGGAAAGTAGATTTCAAAGTGTTCAGGGATTCTAAAATTACATGGATATGAAAAAACGTGTTTTATAAAGTTGAGTTAAATTTTGAATTTAAACTTTGGAAGACTTTTCATTTTGAACCAAGAGAAATTGGTTTGGCTTTACAGAACATGGTCACATGCAAACCAAGAACTAACTGTTTCTTGGAATTTTGATTGCGAGGACATCTATAAGGTTGAAGACTAAAGCATTTCAACAAATATTAAACTCACACTATAACAACCTCATTCGTTTAAGAAAGAAATATTGATCTTGGTACACAGGTAAAGTATATTTAATTAACATTTTAGCTCTTTGAAAGGAAAGGAACAAAGGCCTAACCCATCTGCCAACCGCATGCCCTTACGTCAGCAAATGCACAGAACTGACAGAAGGCAACATAACTGGTCTAACAATATCTGCAGCCAAAAAGGTGAAAGGAAAAATGAGTCTCCTCATTCTACATTGTTAGTATTACTAGACATGTGAAGGGCATCCTGAGCCAAATAAGCATCTGTTTGAGATTACTATACAACGTTGTGCCTATGACTATGTCTGTTCACTCTGTTGTGCCATTGTCAAAAATTACATTAGTTTTTTATAACTACTTTTTAAAAGTATTGTACATCTTTATAACCACAACCAAATCCTCTACGAAAGGAAAGAGAGTGGACAGAAGCAGGCAAGTAACAATAACATTTCATCACCGTTGTTAGGGTGCAACTGTTAGCCACACCCATGCATGAAAACTACTGGAAATAACGGGAAATTCATAATTTTAGGCGCATTGCATTTTGGGAACCGTAAAGACATGAGGTTAGGTTCATAGCACTTTGAATATGAATAGGAAACTTAACGCATTTACTGGAGTGTGTGTGCTCCTCAAAAGAAAATATGAAATAAACAATATATTTTTTTAAAATAAAATCAATTATCCATTACAATTATTACATATTTTTAATAAGAAGATAAGAGAAAAAAATTAAGAATTGAACATAATACAACCTAATTAATAATATTCTCATTTATAAAATAAATTATTACCATTTCACCCATCACATAGAGAATCAAATTAACAACATATTAAAAAGAAAATTGAGAAATATTCT